TTTTCTCCCTCAAAACCCATCCAAATATGGAGGATCCAACACAGAATTCCATGGATTCAGTTGGTTCCAGTTGTTCCACCAAGAAATTCCTCAAATTCCCATTTTCTCCCTCAAAACCCATCCAAACATGGCAGATCCAACATGGAATTTCATTGATTAAATCATTCCACCAAAAAATTCCTGAAATTCCCGTTTTCTCCCTCAAAACCCATTCAAATATGGAGGATCTAACATGGAATTCCATGGATCCAGCTGGCTCCAGTTGTTCCACCAAGAAATTCCTGAAATTCCCATTTTTTCCCAAAAATCCATCCAAATATGGAGGATCCAACTTGGAATTCCACAGATCAAATCATTCCACCAAGAAATTCCTGAAATTCTCCCTTTTTCCCCCAAAACCCATCCAAATAATGGGGATCCAACGTGGAATTCCACAGATCAAATAATTCCACCAAGAAATTCCTCAAATTCCCATTTTTTCCCCTCAAAACCCATCCAAATACGGAGGATCCAACACAGAATTCCATGGATCCAGCTGGCTCCAGTTGTTCCACCAGGAAATTCCTGAAATTCCCATTTTTTCCCTCAAAACCCATCCAAATATGGAGGATCCAACTTAGAATTCCACAGATCCAATCATTCCACCAAGAAATTCCTGAAATTCCCCCTTTTTCCCCCAAAACCCATCCAAATAATGGGGATCCAACGTGGAATCCCACAGATCAAATAATTCCACCAAGAAATTCCTCAAATTCCCATTTTTTTCCCTCAAAACCCATCCAAATATGGAGGATCCGACATGAAATTCCACAGATCAAATCATTCCACCATGAAATTCCTGAAATTCCAATTTTTTCCTCAAAACATCATCCAAATTTGGGGGATCCAACCCAGAATTCCGCAAATTCGATCATTCCACCATGAAATTCCTGAAATTCCCATTTTTTCCCCAAAACCCATCCAGATATGGAGGATCCAACACAGAACCCAGGGAATTTCCTCGGTTTTTAACGGAATCTGGGATCAGGCTAACCCGGGAAGGGGCCGGGATGATCCCGGAATTCCCAGAATTCCCCAAAATTCCCGGAATTCCCGGAATTCCCCAAAATTCCCGAGTTTTTACCTTGTTGAAGCGGTCGTGGGGGACGTACTGGAGCACGATGGGCTCCATGGTGAGGACGTTGGCGAACTGCACCTCGGGGATGTACAGGGCGCACACCACGTGTGCCCAGCCTGGAAAAATACGGAAAAAACGGGAATTTTGTCCCAAATTCCCCCCCACCCAAAAAAAAAAAATCAGTGGGAAAAAATTTCCCGTCCCGAAAAAGTCCATCCTGAAAAAGTTGCGTGGTAGAAAAGGTTCTGTCGGCAAAAAAAAGTCGGTCCTAAAAAAGGTTCTGTGTCAAAAGGGACGTTATTCCACCCAAAAAAACTTTATCCCGAAAAGTTTCCATCCCAAAAAATCTGCATCCCAAAAAAATCGTGCCTCCAAATATGTGTATTCCCAAAATCCCTCCTTCCCAAAAATTCTGCATCCCAAAAAACCTCCATCCCAAAAAATCTGCATCTCCAAAAATGTACATTCCCAAAAAACCTCCATCTCAAAAAACCCGCATCCCAAAAACCCTCCATCCCAAAATATCTGCATCCCATAAAATCTGCATCCTAAAAAAAAATAATCCCAAAAAATCTGCATCCCAAAAAACCCGCATCCCAAAAACCCTCCATCCCAAAAAACCTGCATCTCCAAAAACGTGCATTCCCAAAAAAACTGCATCCCAAAAAACCTGCATCCCAAAAAAACTGCATCCCAAAAAACCCTCCATCCCAAAAAACCCGCATCCCATAAAATCTGCATCCTAAAAAAAATGAATCCCAAAAAATCTGCATCCCAAAAATCATCCATCCCAAAAAACCTCTATCCCCAAAAAAAACCCCATCCCAAATTTGGGATTTGGGGTTTGGGGTTTGTGATTTGGGTTTTGGGATTTGAAATTTGGGATTTGGGGTTTATTTTGGGATTTGGGATTTGGGATTTGGGGTTTATTTTGGGATTTGAAATTTGGGATTTGGGATTTCCTCACCCCCGTTGTCCGTTCGCTTCAGGGCCCCGTCCTTGTGGGGACACAGCTCGCACCTCTGCAAGGAAGAAAAAAATGAATTTTTTTGGGGAAAAAATGAACTTTTTTGGGGAAATATTTTTTGGGGGAAAAAATGACCTTTTTTTTTATGGAAAACTGAATTTTTTTTTGCTAAAAATGACTTTTTTTGCGGGGAAAATCAAACTTATTTTGGAAAAAATTTGATTTTTTTCTTGGGAAGAATGATTTTAATTTTGGAATTTTTTTTTTAATTGATTTTTTTTGGGGGGGGGGGAAAATTGAGATATTTAACCCCAAAATTTGGGCAAAAATCCCCAAAAGATTTCCGTACTCACCACCCGGGCGGCTCGTTCCTGCGATTCGCATTTCCGGCAGAACCAGGGGCCCGTGGGAACCTGCACGATTCCATAACAGGCTGGAAAAAAGGAAAAAAATTTAAATTAAATTGGGAAAAAGGAAAAAAAAATAAAATTAATTGTTTATTTCCCATTTTCCCCCCTATTTTCCCTGTTTACTTCCTGTTTCTCCCCCTGTGGTTTCCTTTTCCCCCAGGGTTCCTTTTTTGGGCTCTCAAAATTCTTCCCAATTCTTCCCAAACTCTTCCTGGAAATTCCAAATTCTTCCTGGAAATCCCAAACTCCTCCTGGAAATCCAAAACTTTTCCTGAAAATCCCAAACTCTTCATGGAAATTCCAATTTCTTCATGGAAATCCAAAATTCCTCCTGGAAATCCAAAATCCTTCTGGGAAATCCAAAATTGCTCCTGGAAATCTCAAACTCTTCTTGAAAATTTCAAACTCCTCATGGAAATCCCAAATTCTTCCTGGAAATCCAAAATCCTTCTGGGAAATCCCAAATTCCTCCTGGAAATCCAAAACTCCTCATGAAAATCCCAAATTCTTCCTGGAAATCCAAAGTTCCTCCTGGAAATCCAAAGTTCTTCCTGGAAATCCCAAACTCCTCCTGGAAATCCCAAATTCCTCCTGGAAATCCCAAACTCCTCCTGGAAATCCCAAATTCCTCCTGGAAATCCCAAACTCCTCCTGGAAATCCCAAACTCCTCCTGGAAATCCCAAACTCCTCCTGCCCCTCTGGGGGTGTTTTTGGGAACCCGGAACGGTTCCCGTCCCTCAGAAATTGTTCTGGAATATTCTGGAATACCCAGCCCGAGCCTCTGGAATGTTCCTGAGCCCTGAAACTGTTCCTGAGGCTCTGGAGTTGTTCTGGACACACGGACGGGACAGAGCTGGACACACGGACAGGACACAGCCGGACACACAGACAGAGCCGGACACAGCCGGACACACGGACACAGCCGGACACAGCCGGACACACAGACACAGCCGGACACACAGACAGAGCCGGACACAGCCGGACACACAGACACAGCCGGACACACGGACACAGCCGGACAGAGCCAGACTCATGAACAGAGCTGGAATCACGGACACAGCCAGACACACGGATACAGCCAGACACAGCCGGACTCATGGACACAGCTGGACACAGCCGGACACACAGACAGAGCCGGACACACCTGGACTCACGGACACAGCCAGACTCATGGACACAGCCGGACACACTGACAGAGCCGGACACAGCCGGACTCACGGACATGGCCAGACACAGCCGAACTCACGGACACAGCTGGACACAGCTGGACACACTGACAGAGCCAGACTCATGGACACAGCCGGACACACTGACAGAGCCGGACACAGCCAGACACATGGACACAGCTGGACACACGACACAGCTGGACACAGCTGGACACAGCCGGACACAGCCAGACACACAGACACAGCCGGACTCATGGACACATCCGGACTCACGGACACAGCCGGACACACAGACACAGCCGGACTCA